CTGCAGATGCTGGTTGTCCGAGGGAAACACCTTACTGCTGTCACACCTCTCTACAGTCAGCAGTACGACTTCGCCCTCAGACCTTGAGTAGCTGCTTTTAGTCTCATCGTTCTCCAATCGACCTACCTGGCATGGTAGAACCTTCAGGAACATGAGTTCCAGCCAATATAGCTCGGCAAGCCCGACCACCACGTCAAGGTAGCAGCTTCGGTCGGGTACCAAATATGCTTAGTTTTTTAATATCTGACATTATTCTAGAAAAAAACTAATAAACAGAATAAACCTTTTGAATAATAATTGTTTCAGAAGAGGCATCGACCTCGTGACGTCCGAGGGGACTCGGCTTTCATCACAAGACGTCATAATTCTTCTTCCAACTCCCAGGGCAGAGTTAAAATGGTTTGATTTATTATTTATGTGGTTAGCGTTTTTTATTGGCAAGTTAGTTTTTTGGTGGGATCGGGTCGCCAACCGCATGTCCAACCCCTCCTCCTTTATCTGTGCTTGGAGCCGGCAGTAGCCATGAAGGTTCTACAGGCGGAATTTTTGTAAAATATTACTTTGATTCAAATCGATCTCTTTCTTATCTGATAAAAATAACAGAAATAGAAGTGCTTCAACAGTTCGCTATGTCCTATACTTTATTGGGTACGAAACATGGTCAGTGGAAGTAAATTATAGTCAAAGGGTTACTATTATTCGATCATCAATGTCTTCGTAACACTGCTCATATATCATGGGACCACCGAATAAGCAGTACTATTATTAGAAAACGAGTACTAAGTAAAAATGGCTGATCAATAGATGAAGTAGTGAAACTTCATCAGTTGAGGTGTTTGGAACATATGTTACGTAAGAAGGGTAAGTTGGAAGAAAGCTGCCACTAATCTATGAAGTCACTGACAACCAAACTGAGCCATGTTGGTAGGTGTACACTACCTGGTTGGGGTCTGTGAGACGATAGTAACCAAATGGTTAAAGCATCTTAAAAGACATGGTTCGAAATCGTGTTCAATGGCGTAGGTGCATCCATTCTTTGCGTTCTCTCTCAAATCCTAACCATCTGAATTGTTCATCATCTTTATCTTTCTCTTTTTAAGTTTATTTCACTTAGTTTTAAACTTCTTGAACTTCTCTCTTTGAACTTAAATCTTTTTTGATTATCTATCGCTAATACTGTCACAACACCTACTAACTAGTATGAGATTTGTCTTGACGATTTGATCTCTCTTTCTTGGTGAGCGCTGCTAATACGACACGACAATTTGAACTGATTTTCATCCGATTACTCCTAATAGCTTTACTACCTCTTCTACTATTGGATTTGAATTGACAGATACATCTCTGTGCTGATGTGGTATGGCGACATGAACTGATGTACTTACGTACGAAGTTCTACGTTGCATCTGAATGACTGACTCATCTGTCTGTACGAAGTCCTATGTTACAGGTGACTGATTGAATAACTTAGTTAGTTCATAGTAAAAAAATTTGGCTTAATTCTAAAGAGATGAATAATTTTTTTTGCTACAGCTAGCTGCTCCTTGATAATAATAATAATAATAATAATAATAATAATAATAATAATATTAATAATAATTAATTCAAATGATTTATTCTATTTTCTTCTATTTCCTTTAATCTTTTTATTTTCATGTTGTTTTTTTTTTTAATATTTAAAATAATAATAATAATGATAACCTCTAATGATAACAACTTGATTGTGAACATGTCTTCGCTTTTTTGTTTATCACTGCTCACATTATATTGTTAACTGTTTCCATGTAATCATAAAAATCAACTAATTTCCGCGCCATGTGATATCAATTATTCAATGGGGTTTTTGCTATACGCTTTTGATCTATTGCTTCTTCGCCGCATTGGCATGGTTACGTTTGTTGTTGTCATTATTTTATTCACGGTCGGGCTACTCTCTCTCTCTCTCTCACTCAAAAATGGACAATTAAAAATTGCATTGTTGTTGTTGTTTCATTTTCACGGTGTGTGTGTGTGTGTGTGCGTTTGCGCGCGCGCGCGCCCCTGCGTGGCTAATTTAAAACAAATTCAATTGTGCGTTATAATTTGATTGCAATTCATTACTGGCCTTCCTCCTCCTTCTTTTTTATTTTTGTGATAACATCAATTTTAATTAACTGCAATATGATAATATTATGGATGATTTTGATGTGCTGTTTATTGGTGCATTCATGTATCAATGTATGTATATATATATATATATATATGTATACATATATATAAATTGAACTATTGAACTGGTGGTGCTTATTTAAAAAATGCATAATTCTAACAACTAAAGATTTTGTAAAGATTGTGATTGTTTTCCTTGAAAAAACATTAGAAACAAAACCAAACCAAATACACAGAATTCATAGTTCATACTTATACTACACAGCTGTTTTTTGTTAGCTTATTTTATAGATTAGTTCACAGCTGATTATTTATTATTTACGATTTATTAGTGTTTATTTATTACGAAAAAAATTTTTGCCTTAATTCTTTTTACCTAATTAATTAAGAAAGACCCAATCGTGTAAATTATTTTTTTTCCGGGCTCTAACACCAATGCCCAGCCCTTCTCCTTTATCCGGGCACTGGGGCCCCGGTAGTAGCCCCCCGGAGAGGGGTTCCAGGTTGTTCACCATTTAACGACGATTGATTGTCATCCTTTGCATCGCTTATAAAAACACAAGAGAACAGTGGATAGAATCATTTTTCCCCCATAATCTACCTATCATTTTTCGGAAATTTCTGTTTCTTTTGTAGTTGAGATTTTAACTGTTTCGAAAAATTTTTTTTTATCAAAATTTACTCTAACAACAATTTGTCATTTTTTAATATTTCAATCAAACATCTCTTGAGTTTTTCTACTCGTTTTTGATACTGTTTGTTTAATGAATTTGGCTAATATATATGTATGAGAAGACTAAGTCAATTAAAAACGAAAACATTACATTGAATACTTACTCTATTTGCACACCATCTTTTTGAGTCGTGACTTCCAACACTCCATCCTTCTTCCATTCCTGTTGTTGCAGTTTCCTTTCCTTCCTGTTGGTACTCCATTGACTTCTTGCTTTTGCTCCATTTGCTTTCCGTTTTCCTCTTCTGACCGTGAGACTTCTTTTTTCACGTCCCTTCTTATACTACTTATATCGTTCGTGTATAAGTAGCACACACCACATGTATAGATATGTATAGATATACATTGCCATTCATTCTTTGCCTTGTCTTTCTTGTTTAAAAAAAAATTTGGCACAGAGTTGTAGTTTTTTTTTCATTTATTTCAGAAAACAATCTACTTACAGTGCTGAACAACATACCCTTAATCAATTCATTGTAATCTTGTGAATTTTTCTTTGATTGTTAATATATATATAATTTAGAATTTATCATATAATTATATATATATATATATATATTATTAGAAAAGATTGAGGCAGACAAAGTTTAACATTCTTTCTTTGAGATTAATTTTGTACAGTGTTGATAATATTTCTATTTCTATTTATTTGTTGATATTGAGGAAAAAATTACCTCTCGTTTTTTGTAATATTGTCGATTGCCTCGACGATCTATAGTTTCATGGTGTAGGAGGTGTAGGCTTGAACAAAAAGCTAAGGGCAGCCAAACCGAAAGTGAATGAAGTCAATGACTACTAGATTAATCCATGTTGATAGGTGTAGACTACGTGGTTAAGGTATGTAAGATGATTGTTAGTCATCGATAGTTAAAGACTTTGAATGACATGGCTCAAAATCGATTGCAATGGTGCAGGTGCATTTATTCTCTGTCTTCTGTAGAATTCTGAACTGAATTCCTTATGACCTTTGTTTTTCCGCTGTTTTAATTGATTCTTCTAGGATATACTTCTCGAATCATATTGTCAATACCTAACATTCATTATTCTCGCTAATACATCTACTAACTACCTCTACTAACAGTATGAAATTTGAATTGGCAATTCAGTCTTTGTGCTACGTACGTAAAAAGTTCTGCATTGTAGCTGCCTGACTGATTTTTGTGTCAAAGAAAATAACAGTGTATAAACAAGACAAATATCATTCATTATTGAGGATAAATAATGATATTTGTTGAATATTGCGAATTGACTGATATTACTGATTGTAACTGTTAGATATTAACTCTAGTCTAACGATTAGGAGCCTTGAGTTTGACTGGCATACGATTGATATGAAACTTTTAACATTGAAACTATAGCTTGTTCAACTTAGTATTATTGAATAGTATTATGGTTGACTTAGTGCTTAGTTTCAATGTGGTCACGCTGTTCAAAATTTTACAGTTCAATTATCAATATTTTTGACGGATTAAAACAATGTAAAATTGGCATTGTTTAAGTGAATAAAATAATCTGCACACTTTTAAATCTACTTGTGTTTTAAAATGAAAATATTATATATATTTAGATAAATAGAGAAAATCTATTTGAATATTTATAAAATAAAATGTCATTTACCATACTTAAAAGCCTCAAATATTCTCTCGTTTATTTAATTCAAAGTAGTTTAATTTAAACTACTTGGGTTGACAAATAACATATCTTTGTTATATTGTTAACAGAAATATAAATTTGTCTAGTTTACACCTACCAACCCAGGAGTCCATAGGTTAGGCGTTCGCGCACAAGACCAAAGATCCTGGGTTCAAATCCTGCGTGGTGTAGGAGTCGTGGATGCGCACTGCCATTGATGAGTCCCATACCAGGACGAAATGGCCGTCTTTCAGTGCTTCCAGGTTTCTTTAAATGGTGCTCTAACAGTTATTTATTGGTGGTTTTAAATGTGTAAACAATTGTTTACATCGTTTAAACTGTTTAACTAACATTCGCTGTAGTTTGTTTTGCAGTGGATAGATAGATAGATTGTGTTGATTAACATCCAGAATGGATTTCTGTGTTTTTTTTTCTGTTTCGTTTGTTTATTTCTCATTGGGAATTTTTGTTTTGTTCTTTTTTTCAGCTACGAAAATGAACAACAGAGGAAAACAATCAATTACAAAGCAAAAATCAATGTATTTGTAATTGCTTTGAAAGATTTTGAAAACATGTCTGATAATGTGATTAGTTTGCGTCAAACAGGTAAGTAGTGGTAGTAGTAGTAGTAGTAGTATTAATAGTAATAGTTTATTTTGGTTACTAATGATTATTGAAATTGTGAATCGATCAATGTTAGATCATTATTAGAAGTCTGCAATCACTGGATGGCTGTTTCATCTTGGTATGGGACTCATCAGCAGTGCTCATCTCCGACCCTTACTCATGAGAATTGAATCCAGGGCCATTGGTCTTGCGCGTGAACGTTTACCCTGTAGGCCATTGAGTCGGACATTCAACACTGATCGATGCACGATTCACAAATAAGATTGATAAATTATCTTGAAAGGCCACTTAATGTATAGATTTCAGAAGGGAATTAGTTATATTTTTCTGTAGGAGAGGACTTGGAGATCCTGTTGCACCAATGGTAGTTAGAATCATCTATAACACACACACAGTATGAGTTCGAAACAAAAACATCAAAATTAACTCTGATCAGTCTGTCGAGAAATATGTATTAGATTGTTTTGTGACTTACTAACGTGGATATATATCTTCAGTAAACTAGTCAGATTAACTATCAACTGTTTAATAGTTGTTACAAAGCCCTCTTAGTAGAACCCTGCTATTCCTATTGCTTATTATTTTCGGACACTAATCCTCTCGACAAGTCGACAAATCAGGACACGGTTGAACAGAGAAGAGATTATATTTCAAATAGCAAGGTTAAATGGAAGTAAGAAGCCGAAGTGAAGGCCAAATAGGAACAACGTTAGTATATGTTTTTAGTTTTTACATGAGAAGCTTCTAGAATATTCTCCAAGCATCGACTAGCGCTGATTGGATAAGAATTAGGCAGTCAGAGTGCAGTTAACGCAATCGTGCTTTAATCCCATCCATGTCCCCCTAACAATAGTACAATATTGACGAGAGGTTAATTTGAGCAACTAATTGAACACTGAAAGTCCCTATAATTGCATTTGAAAAGTGAGTTATAGTCTCACTGATGTAAGCATTTTCGAGATAGTATCACAAGAGGAGTTATTTTTGATATGGCATATAGAAAATATCATCGAAACGATAGCAGTAATTTTGTCTCCTGGAGAGTCTCCTATATGGCTGTGAAACATGGCCGTTAAGAGTAGAAGATGTTCGTAGGTTACTAGTATACAATCATAGATGTTTAAGAAGCATTGCTCGTGTATCCTGGGAACGAGAAAGCAATGCTGTAGTTAGGAAGCGAGTTCTAGGTAAGGATGACAAATCAATAGATGAAGTATTGAAACTTCATCATCTGGGTTGGTTGAGACATGTGTTTCGTATGCCTAACCACCGACTGCCGCGACGAGCTATGTTTTGGGGTGTAGGAGTAGTTTGGAAGAAAGTTAGGGGCGGCCAAAACAAAAACATGGTAGAAATCCATGAAGTCACTGACAAGTGGACTGAGTCATGTTGGTAGATATAGGCTACCTGGTTGGTGTCCGTGAGACGAAAGTCACCAATGGTTAGAAACCTTGAACGACATGGCTCAGAATCGTTTGCAATAGCGCAAGTGCATCCATTCGTTGTGTTCTCTCAAATCCTAATCTTCTGGAATCGTCAGCACCTATACCTTTGTCTTTCTAACCTTATCTCACTGAATTATACTTCATGAATAATATCTTCAAACCCTAGTCTTCTTCATTACCAATAATACCTCTACTATCTCTATCACTATGGGATTTGATATGACATTTGCGTCTTTGTGCTAATGTGGCATGGCAGAATGAACTTATGTACATACGTACGAAGTTCTACGTTGCAACTGACTGACTGTCTCCCGGAGAGAGATTTTTTCAGTTTGCTACTAGTGCGACAAACAAAGATGTCAAGACTAGATGGAAAAGTGGTTTATGTATTAAGAGAAGACACAATTTACTAACAAAATATGTACATTTGATCTTCAAACTTTTTATGTAAAATAATAATTAGACGATTCCATTGAAATCATGGATTGATCAATAGTAGACCACCATTATGAGTGAGGCAGTTAGTTATCCAACAAAAACGATGCATATTGATTGCACAATATCATGGATTGATTGAAGTTAGACATCAGCACTTTTGGGATCCAGCTCACTTGGTCAAAAGGTTGATTGTTCACATGAGAAAGCAAAAGTCTTTGGTTCCATTCCCGCATGTATAGGTCGTGCATGAGCACTGGAAACGCGTCTCATATTAAGAAAAAACGGCATTTCAATTCTTTCAAGATTCTAACGGTGGTCTAACACACTGATCGATTCATGATTTCAATCAAATTCACCAATGACCACAACCCTATAGTGGCAATCAGATTATTTCATTGTGGGGTTGTTGTGAAGATTATTAAGTTTTATTTGTAATCATGAATCGATCAATGTTAGACCACCATTAGAAACCTGGAAGCACTGGACGGCCGTTTCGTCCTGGTATGGGACTGATGAGTCCCGCAATGCAATTACATGTGTTCTCTAGTGACTAGCTCCGTGACCGATCTTCTCCGAGTTCTAGTGGGAAGACGTGACCAGTGGAGTTCAACCTGTTCGGGTGAGAGCAGTGTCTACCGAAGACTGTGTATGAGGTTGCGCAACTCCATGAATTTGATCAAGTTAGACATTATCACCATGGGGTGCCGGCTCAGTGGTCTAACGGTTAGGGCATCCGCGCACAATGCCTAAGGTCCTGGGTTCGAGTTCTGCGGGATGCAGGAGTCGTGGGCGCTCACTGCTGATGAGTCCCATACCAGGACGAAATGGACGTCTGGTGCTTCCAGGTTTCTAATGGTGGTCCAATATTGATTGATCCATGGTTACAAATAAAACCAGATTATTGACTGGTTTCTTTGACATATCTTGTAGTCTTCAAAATACTACTTCCACCATGCATTCCGATTCAACACTCTTCTCTCTCTTCGGTATTAACTTCAAAACAACACCGTTGTTTACTGCTTACAAACCGCTCTACTAGTCCAATGAAACATGATTCGGAGCCTACTAACTAGAAATATTTATAGAATAATTAAAATAACTCAAGTTTTGAGACTAAAATTCCATGTTTGTTTTCAATAAATTATTGTTCATTTAAGGTCTGAAAAAGTGACTTGTAAATTATGCAATATATATATATATATATATATATATATATATATATATATATATGGATTCTTCAATTATTCATAAAAATTATATTTACTGATAATGATCTGGCAAAAAAAGTTACATGTTGTATGATTGTTAACATTCTAAGAAATTAACTGTCTATACTTTATACTATTTAGTATTGTTCCTTACAAACTTTCGCCTGCTAGCCCCAATCGAGCATTGAGCACTGTGCAGAGTTCTTCAATCTACTGTCTGCATTCTCCTCATATCTGTCTCCATTTCTCGGCGAAATGTGTTCCTTTAACCTTTCTCTTTTTACTTCTAACTCGAGTAATCCAAGTGAGGCCTCGCAATTGAGTGCTTTTCTCTTTGTGAATACTATTCACTTTCAGCGCTTCTTCCTGATTTCTTCCTCGTCTGTAAATTTATATTACAAAACTATAATAAATAGCTTGGAAAAGGTAATCACATCTGAGGCTTTAAAACGATACTAGCAAACTGTTTTTCTCAGATTTCTTACTACGACTACTAGTTGAGGTAAAGTTCAAAAACTTATTTCCTGTGAGTATTAATTTTAAAATAGATTGTTTGCATTATATACCTTAAAATTAACACCAAAGTCAGAATTTGCAATACAAATGTCAAGAAAGTTCTACTGTATGGTGCAGAAACTTGGAGAACTACCATTATCCAGAAGATACAAGTGTTCATTAACAGTTGTCTACGCAAAATACTTCGGATTCGTTGGTCAGACACGATCAGCAACAACGTACTGTGGGACAGAACAAACCAGATTCCAGTGGAGGATGAAATCAAGAAGAAGCGTTGGAAGTGGATAGGACACACATTGAGAAAAGCATCCAACTGCGTCAAAAGACATGCCCTCACTTGGCATCCTCAAGGTCAAAGGAAAGGAGGAAGGCCAAGGAACACAATACGCCGAGATATGGAGACAGAAATGAGAAGAATGAACAACAATTGGCCAGAAATAAAAAAGGAAGCCCAGGACAGAGTAGGCTTGGAGAATACTGGTCAGTAGCTTATGCTCCATTGTGGGTAACAGGCATAAGTAAGTAAGTAATATACCTTAAAATTACTCAAACTGACTGTTGTACTTCAAAAGACAGATTAGATAGGTTACTGATAACGTTTTCAATTTTTATTTTAAATAGATAAACAGTTTAATTGTTTCTTTTTTTCCCTAAAATCACGTTTTTTTTATAAATTTGTTGTTTTAATTTTGTTAGCCACATGCATTGGTGTTATTACTGCAAAATATGATACAGATTTATCAACTGTACGAGAAATTATTAATCAGTTGAATACAAATAAAACTGACGATAATTCATATGATGAAACATCTCAATCAATGGAAACTATCCGGACGACTGTCCGGACAGTTCAATTATCGAACACATGGGTTTTCATTGATTGTAAGCAAGTGATTATGTCATACTGTGTTTTTTTTAAAAAGAATTACATTCTAATAATGATATATATTGTATAGAGTGAATATCAATGAAATAACTGACTTTGCCTACTAGTCAAGATAATATATCCATAAGCGTATTGAGGTAAGGATGGCAGACCAATCGATAAAGTATTGAAACTTCATCAGTTGAGGTGGTTGGAACATGTGTTACGAATTCTCAACTACCGACTGTCTCGGCGAGCGATGATGTCTTGTGTAAGGGTAGGCTGAATGAATGGAAGGGGAGAGAGACCAAACCAAAACATGCCAAAAATCCATGAAGTCACTGACAAATGCACTGAACCATGTTGTTATGTGTGAACTGCCTGGTTGGGATCAGCGAGACGATAGCAACTGATGGTTAGAGAATTTGAATAACATGTCTGAAAATCGTTTGCAATGGCGCAGGTGCATTCATTCATTCATCATTGTGTTGTCTCAAATTCTAATCTTTTGAATTCCTCATAACCTTTTTGTTTTCACTCTCTTTCTATTGAATTCATCCTTTTCGAATCATATCTTCAATCTATAACATTCATTATTTCCACTAATACTTCTAGTATCTGTACTATTTATGGGATTTCAATTGACAATTCAATCTCTGTGTGTTAATATGGTACGGTAACTTGAACTGTTATATGCACTGTACGAAGTTCTACGTTGTAGCTGACTGACTGACTCACTGACAGATATATATATATCAAAACACTTCGAAAATCCCTTACCAAAAATTCCACTGTCGACAACAATAACAAAAACTTGAATACTTTAATTTGAAAAAGTTTTATAAGTTGTACATTAAAACTTGAAGACAATAGAATCAAAAGATTGGTACAATAAGAAAATCAAATCAAATTAAACTAGAAGAAACAAATGAGTGTTGCAGTGAAGTATTTAATTCAACAATCATGAAATGTTTGTCATTTGAAGGAATCGGATGAAGTATTCATTCAGTATTCATTCCAGTTATCTCTAGATAACAACATTCACTGATAGTTAATCAATGTCACCTTTGAAGAATAATTCTCATATAAATGGAACAGTGTAGTTAACATTTTTGAGATTAAACGTAGGCGATGGTGTCTAGCTTCTTTCAACTGAAGTTGGTTAGGGTATTTAATAGAAACGATCATTTGCAATGTTGTCTGATTAAGAAGATTGGAAGATGGGTAGACGTTTGTTAAACTGAGGCATAGCATCGTCCTATTAAATGATTAGATGTTGATTTAATACATGTTACTTTTGGGTAGGTTATATCCCGAGCACTCGCTTGGTAAATGTCTTTATTTCGGATTTTATTCAGAGGCTAATCAGTTGACCTTGAGATTACATTTCTCACCAGGAAAATCCTTGACTGTGATTGGTTGATGTGTTATTTTAGTACACTGTTTTTGTGACTCTCCTAAGGACGTTTCTATGATGTATAAATAAACGCGATTTGTCTGCTTAAGATCATTGGTTTGCTGGATGTTTGTAGAATACACTTTCTACGCCATATCAAGACTTTTTCGTTAGTTAGTTTTGGTTAGCGGATCAAAGTAGCCTACCGTGTCACTGGGTTCATTGTCTTGTTCTCGTTTATCGACTAAGCTGAACTCGTAATAGCTTCAGGCATATCAAGTGACGAGCATAACAGTTAGCAAGTGTAAATCACCCGTTCACAGTTCATGCAATAATCCTTATACCATTATCAATCATAATACTTTCTTTTGCCAACTAATAAATTGAGGATAACGTTAATTCACACAAAGTGAGCAATTTGTACAATGTGTATAAATATTCAGAAACAGGAAAACAAATGCTCATATTGTGCATACATATCTATTCCACTTTATTATGTTTGAAAAGATTATTAAAATCATCAGTCAATCATTGTTAGAGTACCATTAGAAGCCTCGAGGTACTGGATGGTTATTTCATCCTGTGAAGTGACTCGTCGGCAGCGCGCATCCATGACTCCTACTACTCACAGGATTCGAACATTTACATCAATATTGGTTGAGTGCTTAAAGGTTACTGTCATTTAATCAATATTTCATTAACTATTTAGCAGGTTATGTCATTCATTTTTTAACGCTTCCAATAACGACACTTTTAGATTAAATTTATAAAGACAAAAGTGGTCATCTAGTTTATAGTTTTATCGATATCATTTATATATATATACATGAGGATGCCATGAACTCAGGCCTCATATATGGTCGGAGAATGAAAATTTCGGTATTGCGAAAATTTCATTACCTGACATGAAACAAAGGTATTTAGAGCGTTTGATCCCATTTGCATAAATCTGGGCAGCATCTCTTGCTCTCCTATGCCATACTATGTTTACACTATATGCTATCCTAGGAGACCAGAGGTTTGCTGTGAACATTGTGGATGGCTTGGCATTGCTTTGGCAAGTACTGCTGATAGTCCGTAAACAAATTTAGTTAGCACAGTGACCTGACCGATTTCTTTGATACTAGTGGTTGTTTTGCAACAATCCCGAGGGCCATTGTCATTGGGGTGCTGTATTGCATATCACCATTGCTAATAATGATGAGTTTGACAGTCTTGTAAGCGGGATGGGTCGAAATGGCCTGTTCATACGTTGCATGTTGATTGACGCGATTATAGATTGGAAATAACCAAAACATATATACTGTTGTATATAGATGGTGTGAATGGTCCATCAGCGTGTCAGGTACCTGTGTGATGGTTGCATCAAGGCTTTAAGCTGAACTGTTTAGATTGGAATGTTAACACATGCGCAGTCTCCTTGGTTCTCTTGAAAACCAATGTAAAATTACCCTTGCCAACAGAGGGTTAATTTATATATAAGTATAAAATATTAATACATATGTAGAGATGGGGAGAACTTTTTTCAATATTCATCTGTTCGTTATAATCTAAAGGACAATTTTTCACTATCCAGCCATCATTTTCCGTTTTTATTCCTATCAAATTCAACGCCATAATTCGAGATTACCAAATCGCAATTTACAGTGCCTAGCTATATTTTTTCCAAAAAAAATTATTTTAGTTGAAATATTTAAGCTACTTAAATATGATTAGCCAAACAGTAAATAATTGTTGAAAATTTCACATTGGATAATATGTGATTAACTACTTGCCACATAGAGAAACGTGAAAACCATCATCTGTTTCATACTTTTCTTTTGTCCAAATTATCTGACTTAATCAATAATAATAAGTGTAGTTTAATATCACCAAATATATTATTGACTGAAATATTTAAGCTTCTTTGAGTCAATCACTAGCCAATAAAAGTACTATGTAGCAATAATTCTGGTCGGATGATTAGTTTTAGTTGACTTTCTATTGATATATACTCAATAAAAAATTAGATGGAGTGACATTAGAACAAACAAACTGATTATGAAATTGTCTTCTTGATAGGCTCGTCAATTGTTATGCTTGAATGCTGTTACGAGTTCACTTATACTCGGTAAACGGAGCGCGGATCAATGATGCAGTGACACGATGGGTTATTCTAATCCGACCGTCTCAGGCCCAACTGACAGAAGCAAGACGTTTTGATGAGACGTAGAGAATGTATTCTACAGGCACCCGGAAAATATGAGGTTGCTAAGCACACAAATCAAGCTTATTTATACAATGATAGCAACGCCGTTGATGAGAGCCACAAAATAGCATATGCTAAAATAATCAGTCAAAGATTTCACGAGTGGGAAATGTAAGCTGAAGATTATCTAAGCGTCTCTTGGCGCGAAAACGTGAAAAAATTCAAAACTTTAGAAATAAATTACAAAATTAGGACCTATCTATCTAACGTCCCCAATACTGCACAACATACATAAACTACTGAGGTAAAATATTTAGTGTGTATGTTGAGGCAGGGGAACATTTTTCTATCTGAGGATCATTAGGAATGTTTTAAAAAAGTTGGAAAATATGTATCAGTGTAACTAATGTACAAACTAGTCGCAACCAGATGAAATATGTATATTTGAAGAGGACAGTTTATTTACAAAATATGTACGTACACATATTCTTCAAACATCCATTGGCAAGGCAAACAAACTTCTAACTGTCTCCGTTCACATCTGTTTTCTGGTCTTCAGTACTCACTGATTGCATCATGGATTGATATTGATTTCCAGACACTACCTTATGATAGTGTGGTGCGCGCTACTTATAAGCAGTATATGACGTGAGTGAAAACATAATGTCTGGCAGCAGAAGATGGGGGAAGATCAAGAAAGGAAGAGTGGGAACTCAATGGAATTTGTATGAAACGCATGAATAGTGAAATGTCAGACAATGGGTTAATGTTTTGCGAATTAACGGTTTACGATATGGTTTTCCTATTTTACCAATTAACTCTGTAATTTGCGATTCGGTAGACCTCACCTTTGTTCTTCTTCACTCCAATAGTAATTTCTAGTCGATGCCTCGCTGCATGAAAATGATATTCCACCTCGCAAACAGCATCCATTCATCACACCAATAAGAGTTGTTGTACTGTCATAAATTGTGAAGTGTACGGAATTCAGGAAATATTGATTGATATTCACTTTAATCCTGTTGAAAATATAGTAACTACCAAAGACAAATGGGTGAGGTCGCGCAAAATCCTTAGATCAATCAGAGTTAGACATTAACACCATTGGATGCCAGTCCAGTAGTCCAGATGTTAGGCGTTCACGCACAATACCTAAGGCCCCTGGTTCGAATCCTACGAGGTGCAGGAGTCGTGGATGCGCACTGCCATTGATGAGTCCCATACCAGGACGAAACGGCCGTCTTTCAGTGCTTCCAGGTCTCTAATGGTGGTCTAACACTGATTGATTAATGATTTCAAATGTGTAAAAACACAAATCTCCATAACTCAAACTGAAAATATTGTACATTTACTTTTTTCAGTTTCTTTAAAATAGTTATTCTCATAACAATTTCTCTTCTTTTTTCAATCATTAAAAACTATCAAATAGCTACGACAGCGGCCAGTCGATTTTTTCGTATTGATACAGAACAAGAGAATGCACATTTTCTAACGGATGTTTGTAATATGGAAGATTTATTTCTGATCGATTGTGCATTGGAGTCACGTTTAACGTTGGATGATGAACATCCGAATGCTGATTCACTTATTGACGATACTGTATCACTCTCGTCACCTTTGATCACCGACAACAATGATAGTGAATTAAATCGATATGAGGCTGAGGGAAGTTTGACCGGCGAAATAACATGTGAGCGCAAAGATGTTGAATGGATAGATGAAGATCAGTTGAATAGTGTTTCACCTGGAATTGAAGTAAATTTATGTTTAACATTCAAATTTCATTTTTCCTTTGGTTTTTTCGTTTATTTGCGTTACTTCATGATTTTCTGTGCAAATGAACTGAATGACTGCCTGAAGACTGACTAAATGCAGACTTTCTAACTGCCAAGGGCAGAGTTAAAATGGTTTGAACTATTTTGCTGTTTACCCTCCTTTTAGTAAGTTGGTTTTCTAAGGGGTAGGGTTGTTGATCCCAGGCCTAAGTCTCCTGCCTTGTCCGAAATTAGGACTGACAGTGGCCCCGAAGGGGCTCCAGGAGGAGCTAGGCAGCAAAACTGATGGTCACGGTGGATTTGATGCAGATGTGATGGAATGGATTGGCAAATAAAGGGCAGCATTCCTACAATTGAAGATCTCTAATTCAAAACAATTATCAACCAACACCAGTGACAATTTCCAATACAAATGTCCAGGAACTTCTATTGAATGGAGCAGAAACTTCGAAAACTACAGAGGTTGTCATCCAGAAGATACAAGTGTTTATTAACATTTGTTGAAACAAAATACTTCAGATCCGTTGACTGAACACTATCAGCAACAACCTACTGTGGGAGAGAACAACCAGATTCCAGTGGAGGAAGAAATCAAGAAGAAGCGTTGGAAGTGGATAGGACACACATTGAGAAAAGCATCCAACTGCGTCAAAAGACATGCCCTCACTTGGCATCCTCAAGGTCAAAGGAAAGGAGGAAGGCCAAGGAACACAATACGCCGAGATATGGAGACAGAAATGAGAAGAATGAACAACAATTGGCCAGAAATAAAAAAGGAAGCCCAGGACAGAGTAGGCTTGGAGAATACTGGTCAGTAGCTTATGCTCCATTGTGGGTAACAGGCGTAAGTAAGTGACTACGATGTTTTCTCATTTTAGCAACACTTAGACAGTTGTTTCATTTTAGTGGGAAAATTCCTCGTCGGTATTTTACACTCACAACCTCTTCAGGATTTAAAATCGAGTACCTTTAGATTTGGTGATGAGTGAGCTCAATCTTTAGATGACTATGCTGTCACTCACTAGTTCATAATACAAACGTCAATCAACTAGTGATAATCCGTATCAAGAAATGATATTTTCTAGGAAATTTTAGATTTTCAAGTTGTACAGTGTTAGGATATTCATCCAATATCCTAAGAGAATTGTTTGTAAGTCTAATTCCATTGGTCGATTCCTATTGGTCATCCTAACTATCAATGTCACTTCAAATGTTGCTTCCTATTGGTCGTCTTAACTGTCAATGTCACATACTTCAATGTTGTTTTCTATTCGACCTAACTGTATAAATATGCATTATCTGTAACGTTTTACGATCCGGATCCTTAGTCCACGATCCTTGTCTTCTTCTGGACTCGGACCTCATACTTTCTGGATGCTTGTGGAACACATGTTCTACTTCATATCAAGTCTTCTTCTTTTACTCAATGCGCGTTTGGGACACTCGGATTAGAATAGCCTATCGTGTCGCCGGATTATCGAACCTCGCTCTGGTTTACTGACTAAGGTAAACTTGTAATAGTTCAAGCATATCAAGTGACGTGTTTACATGCGTGCGTAACAACAGTCGTACAGTTTTAATAACAATACACTATCAGAATATGACTTTAAATTGATAACCGAACTTGGATTTGCTAACCCAAATAATAAAATCTATCTGTTTTGATCATTTTTAGACATGCAGTAGTCTAATAGAGTCACCTAATCAGAATAAGAATGAAGATCACAATGTTGTCAGTGGGCACTTTGTCGACAACCGTGATGATGAAGATGATGAGAATTGTTCACGTAAAACTCAATCACGACATCTATTGATTTCCACAAAGCATACATCATTCGAAGAGGACTTCATCTATCCGTAAGTTAGATTTATCAACAACAACAAAATTGTGCTTTCTTATTTTAAATTAGGTCAATGAATGAATGATTAAGAGACAAACAAACTTATTGACATTTTATTGCGTGTTCCAATACATCATGTCTTCAATTCAAACAATATTAGAATTATATGTGATTTAATAAAAAAAATAATAAATTTATCAAGGTTGTTACAACAATAACAGCAGCAATAGTAACAGGTAGGTATAATTGTTCTTTTTAAAAGTTGCTGATCCTTATCTGTCTTTCTTGTTCTCTCTCTCTCTCTCTCTCTCTCTCTCTCTCTCTCTCTCTGTGATTTGTGATTACTAATAATTTTTCTATAAATGATGGTAAGTACGTACGTACATACGTACATCAACTTAAGTTGTCGCATCATATTACCACTCAGAGAGATTGAACTGTCAGTTAAAATTTGATATACTCGTCAATTGATATGTTTGAAACTATCATGAGTTCACCTTACTCGGTAAACGAGAACGAAGACAAATGAAGCAGTGACACGATAGGTTATTCTAATCCGTTGTCTCAGGCCCCTGGCGACTGTATCAAGAAGTCTTGATATAGTGTAGAAAGTGCATTCTACAAGCAACCAGAGAGTACGAGATGCACAGGCATACACAAATTAAGCTTATTGGTATATGATAGAAACGTCCTTGGGAGAGCCATAAAAATAGCGTACTAAAGTAATATGTCAACCAATCGCAGTCAAGGATTTTCCGAAGGGGAATTCTAATCTAAAGGTCAACTGATCAACCCGTACGCGAAAACACAAAATCCAAAATTAGGACCTTAATCAAGTGAGTTCTGGGGATCTAACTTCCTCAAAAAAATTCCTTTAGTGTGAAGGTAGTGGGAGTATTGATGGTAAGGGAGAAAATTAGGAATCGAAGATATGATTCAATTTTTAAAGAGAAAGGTAAAGATCATGAGGAATTCAGGAGACTATAATTTCAGAAGATAAAGAATGGATACACTTGCGCTATTGCAAACGATTTCCCGTGAACTCGGTCGATGTCTCTAACCATCGGTTACTATTGTTTCCAAGACCCAAACCAGATAATCTACATCTACGGACATGGCTCAATCTAGTTGTCAATGAATTCATGGATTTTTACATATTTTAGTTTCGCCACTTCTGGCACGTTAAGGAAGTCGGTGGTTGGGAATACGTAATACATATCCCAAACACCACAAATGATGAAGTTTCAATACTTCATTAACTAATCTGCTATCCTTACTTATTGCCCTTTTCTTAACACCACCACTGCTTACTCGATGGTCTCAGGATAAGCAAGTAATGCTTCTAAAACACCAATGATAGAATGCTACTACCATACGAATGTCCTCACATCCGAAAAATAGAATTCAATGAACTATGCTCAGTAAACTCGTCCTTTGGCTAGCAGACAGATATGTCGCCCACGCCATAAGTGATACAAGTTGGCAAACGCCAGTCAAGCCTTCTGCATCCGTACTGAGATTTCATCATACACCAAGCCTTCATGGCTGATGAGACTCTCAAGTTAATAGAAGTGGTCAACACGCTCAACTGATTCACTTCCTATCATTAGTTCATGTGCCAACGCAAGTCAGTCGTGAAGCAATATTTCGCGTTTCTAGATATAAATTGTATCCTGATCGTGATTCCATTGTTTCTTAGGATAATCAGAAGATTCTGTATCTTGTCAAAGTCTCCAGAAAATAGAGCTATGTCACCGGCATATTCTAAGTCAACAAGTGAATCTTCTGATATTATTGTAGCTAATATCTTTAACACTATATTAGTCAAACTGACTCTTCTGTGATTGTCACAGAGGACTTTTTTCCTTTTTTGTAGACTGCGACAATTAGTGATTGAGACCAGTCGGATGGGATTACGTCCAGTTCCCGGATTCCACCTGTGATCTCAGTCAATCTAAATGCTAAATCTGAACCACCATCCTCAAAACGTTCGACAGATAAATTATCCGAACATGCTGCTCTCCCTTGCTTCAGATTTCCTATAGCTTTTTCAACTTCATAAAGAGTCGGGCGACTTACGTAACCGAAGTTTGGCTGAAGGCCAATTAACCTGATCCCCAATGTTTTATGTCATTTCCGTCTTTTCGCTTCCGCTACCCACCTCTGTTCACGATAATTGCGTAGGCTTCTTATCAACCAGCGTTTAAGCTGACTCGGCTCCTCATCATGTTCAGAGCCATACGAGGTGTGTTTCCGAGCATCTATCAGTCCAACAGATGCTACTGAAATCCACCGTTTCTCCCGAAACCTTTGGATTCGCCTTACTGGCAGAAAGAACCGCTGTTTCCACAGCTTTTTGGATATGATTCCAAGCTGACTCGGATTGGGCATCACGTACATGGACATTACATTTCTGTCGAACTGTTTTTATAGTTGTACCTAAAATATATATATGCTGGTTGTCCAAGAGAAAGATTTTACTGTTGTCATACTCTTCTACATTCAACAGCACGACTCCAATCGACCTATCTGGCATGATAGAACCTAAAGCAACTTATGTTTCACCCAATATGCCTCGTTTGAGTCACCATGCTAAGCAAGTCCGGCCACTATATCGAGGTAGCAGTTACGGTCGAGCAAGCGCTAAGTTACTTATTTGAACTCCACTCCACCTACTTTGGTTTTAGCAGCCAGTTATTAGCATGAAACTTTAGGTTTGGAGTATAGTTGAATAGAACATATGTGTATTAAGCAGTGCATTGTTGTCGTAGATGATCTCAACCGTTCTGTGCACATAAATCGTATTATTTTATTTTTAGAAGGATATCATTATAATTTAAACGAAAAAATAGTGCTTGAAATTGTTAGGCACGCTACATCCCCAGAACACGCTTGATAAATGTCTTTATTTTGGATTTTATTCAGAGGCTAATCAGTTGACCTTGAGATTACATTTCTCACCAGGAAAATCCTTGGTTGTGATTGGTTGATATGTTATTTTAGTATGCTATTTTTGTGACTCTCTCAAAGAAGTTTCTATGATGTATAAATAAACGCGATTTGTGTGCTTGAGATCATTGTGTGCTTGCTGGGTGTTTGTAGAATACACTTTCTACTCCATATCAAGACTTTTGATTCAGTTAGTTGGGGCAACGGATCAGAGTAGCCTACCGTGTCACTGGGTCCATTGACTTGTTCTCGTTTATACTGACTAAGGTGAACTCGTAATAGCATTCAAGCATATCAATTGACCAGCATAACAGAAATACAGAACTTGTGTCACTGATAAACTTTATTAGCGTTGAAAATACTATTTTTTGTTTTGTTTTTTTTCAAGGAAAGATACCACGATCAATTCAACATTATCATCAGACCAAATGAGTGTTGTGTTCAGCGAGAAAATCTCAATCGATAAACCACATGAAGAAATAATGGAAGAGGGTGAATTAGGCATCTGTCATGAAAATGATTTTCTTCATACGCCATATGAAATGAATCAATCTTATCATCAATATGACAATATTACCAATACCGATGATGATGATTATGATGATGACGACGATGAGATTGAGAGTAGAAGTAGTGGCAGTAGTAGTAGTAGTAGTAGCAGTAGTAGTAGTAGTAGTACAAGTAATCAGGAAACAATAAGTACTTTAACAACAAACTATTCCAATGATATTCCCCTAATCATCATTCATCATAATCATCCTGTCAGTTCATCATCGTCAGTAGTATCATTATCGTCACTCTGTACAAATCAACAACAATCATCCCTGGATCAAATACAAATTATCAATGAAGAGAACAATGAATTCACCGATTCATGTCATCATGAAGGAATAACGAGACAAAAGCATGAATTGGAAATTCAACAATATGAAAATAATGATAAAGTATTATGCATTCAATGTAAAACGGATAGTTTCACCAGTGATGCTAGTGATAATGAGGATACAATTGAAATACAACAAATCCAATCCAGTGATAATCATGATGAAGATGGCATTCATGATCACGATGAGAATGAGACTGACGAAGATAAGAAGATGTCTGAATTCATTCGAGGTAAGAGTTGGTTATTGTGTGTGTTAGAGTAATGGAATTTATTATAAAATGTTTATTTTTTTTCTTGGTTGACTTTCTGTTACGCCTGCACGTAAACACGTCAACTTGATATACTTGAACTATTACGAGTTTACCTAGTCGGAAACGAGAGCAAGGATCGAGAATCCGGTGACACGACATGCTACTCAAATCCGATTATTACAAGCCCCATATTTAGTAAAAATAAGGAGACATGATATGAAGTAGAACCTGTATTCTACAAACATCCAGAAGAGAATCAGGATCCGGGACTAGGGATCCGGGACCGAGCCCTGGTCCTCGTCGTGGTCAATAAACGTTACAAATAAATGCGTATTTATACATTTAGGTCGAATAGGAAACAGCATCGAATTCTGTGGCATTGACAGTTAAGACGACCAATAGGAAGCAACATTTGAGTGACATTGATAGTCAGGACAACCAATAAGAAACAACATTGAAGTATATGACTTTGACAGTTATAACGACCATAATTTTTACCAATAGAAATCGACCGATAGGATTTGACCAATAATTCTCTTAGGATATTGGATGAAAATCCTAACACTTTCTTTAGCAAATAGAGTTGTTTTTTTTCATTAGAGTCTTATGGAAATGATAGTTTTACCTTGAAATCATGAATCGATCAATGTGAGACTATTATTAGAAACCTGGAAAAAGCATTGGACAGCCGTTTTGTCCTGGTATGAGACTCAAAAGTAGTGCGCATCCAATGACTACTGCTACTCGCAAGTTCTCAAAGTTCTATTGAGAAGACATGACCAATGGGGTTCAACCCTGTCAGCCATAGGTAGTTACTACTGAAGACAATGGATGAGGTTTCGCAAAATCCTTAGATTGATTAAAATTAGACAGTAACACCGATGGATGCTGGCTCAGTGGTCTGAAGTTTCGGCGTTCGTCTTGGGTTTGACTCTTGCGAGTAGCAGGAGTTATGAATGCGCACTGCTGATTAGTCCCATATCAGGACGAAATGGCTGTTCAGTAGTTCCAGGTTTCTAGTAGTTATCTAACAGTGATCGATTCATAATTTAAAGGTAATAGAATTGTGGCGGGCTTATTACTAGTCAAATAATTTTTTACAGGGAATGTTACGTAATTGATAGTCTTGATTATGTTTCAATTGTTACTTAAGTTCAGATAATGTTTATATTTTTGTTATGAAGTCAGGCAGTCAGTTGAAACGTAGAACTTCGTACGTATGTACACGAATTTGAATTGCCATACCACATTAGCACACAAAGATGCAACTGTTAATTCGAATCCCATAGTAATAAAGGTAGTAGTAGTAGTATTAGCAGTAACTGAAAAGATTAGGGTTCGAGAAGTATAATCTAGTGAACTAAACCTTAAACTAGAAAAATAAAGGTGATGAGGAGTTTAGGATATTATAATTTAAGGGAAGACAAAGAATGGATGCACCTACGCCACTGCAAACGATTTTGAACCATGTCATTCAAAGTGTCTAACTATCGGTTACTATCGTATCGTAGACCCCAACCAGGTAGTCTACATCTAACAACATTGCTTAATTCTATTGTCAGTGACTTCACGAATTTGTGCCATTTTTTGGTCTAGACGCCACTAGCTTGTAGATTTTCAGGATTTATAGAGCGGTAAACAACGACTTCATACAGTGAATTTCGAGGTACATATTTGACATTGTTGTACGGATTTCGTCAAGTACAATAATCCCTCATCTTTCCTGTAGGTGAAAAGTTAGACATTCTACAGTTTTGTATTGTAGGCGATTACTTCGTCTTTATCATTTATACTCGAATGGTATTTCTTTTTTGTATGACTTAAAAACAACCACCTTTCAATTGTCAAACTTCGGAATAAACATTTAAATTTTCTCTTTAACATCATTCTGAAGGTATTATTTGAAATTATAATGCATCTAGTTAAGGATATTGTTTTACTGAATCAATTCAATAATCAAATTTATCCAGTGGATTTTTCTGCATTCTTGTTTAAAAATAAATTACCCGAGATGAATAATGAATAATCAGTGTTTTTTTACAGTTCATTAACCCAGTAGTAAAGTTCTGAGTATCATCAATAAGTGTGCTAAAGATTTGAGAGTAAAATTGAGGATTTGTTCAGTTTAGAGGATTTTCCTATCAGAAATTTCTAAACTTTTATAAAACGATTTCATCAGAATTAAAGATCTGACGACAACTCCTCAACTGAAATTGGCATTGTTTAAATTGCTAGCCACTACTATCACTGGTTGTAGATGTTAGGATATTCATCCAATATCCTAAAAGAATTATTGGTCAATTCCTATCGGTCGATTTCTATTGGTAAAAATTATGGTCGTTTTAACTGTCAAAGTCATATACTTCAATGTTGTCTCTTATTGGTCATCCGGACGGTCAATGTCATTTCAAATGTTCTTTCTTATTGGTCGTCTTAACTGTCAATATCACAGAATTCGATGCTGTTTCCTATTCGGATTAAATGTATAAATACACATTATCTGTAACGTTTTATGACCACGACCAGGACCAGGGCTCGGTCCCGGATCCCTAGTCCGAGATCCTGATTCTCTTCTGGATTCGGACCTCGTACAATCTGGATGCTTGTAGAATACAGGTTCTACTTCATATCACGTCTTCTTATTTTTACTAAATATGGGGGTTGTAATAATCGGATTTGAGTAGCATGTCGTGTCGCCGAATTCTCGATCCTCGCTCTCGTTTTCCGACTAAGGTAAACCCATAACAGTTCAAGTATATCGGGTTGACGTGTTTACGTGCAGGCTTAACAGTAGACCTCAACATACACAAGACAGTTTGTTGAAGAATACCAGTCATCGGTAACTTGAACACTGATGTATGTACATGCCCGTACGTACAAAGTACTACATTGTAGCTGTGACCCTGACTGAGTGAAAATGCAGATGTTTTTATTGATTGAAAAATTTATTTTTCGTCTTTATTTATTAGATAAGATGATCCCTAATAGAATTTGAGAATTTTTGTTCATCATTAACACATGTGCTGGAAGTTAATCCGAGGTTAAAATTAAAAAAAAGTAGTCGACATAGTCTGTATGTTATGTTCGTCACTAAGTATTTTTGAGGCTATTACGAGTTTACCTCAGTTGATAAACGCCAACGAGACAATTACCAGCGTCCAGATATGCTACCTTGAATCCCAAGCTAAAGTAAGAAGGCTTTGTAAGCGTAGAAAGTATATTCTACAAACACCCAGCAATCACAGTACAATCAAGCACACAAATCTCGTTTATTTATATATCATAGAAACGTCCTTGGGGCAGTTACGAAAATAGAACACTAAAATACACAGCAGCCAATCACAGCCATGGATTTTCGTGGTGGGAAATGAAATCTTAAGGTCAACTGATCAGCTCATGCTGGCAAACATGAAAACCAAAATAAAGCATTTATCAAGCGTGTTTTGGGGATCGAACATCCCTAACACTCCTCCCTTTTTTAATAGCGTGTGGTCCTGGGGTCGACTTGCATCTTGACTGTCGTTCGCCGCTGTCTGAGAGGATACCTTCGGGGACGAAGAACAACATGCTGCTGAGTTTCTTCTCGTGGCGGGGCTGCCAGTGGGTTGAAAGTATCAAGCAAGATGTCAAGGGGAAGGCTTTCTGCTCTTAATGGGCTATCTGGGTCTGGCCGTCTGCGTATCTGATTTCGATGACGTGACCATATATCACCTCCTACCTCTACTTCGTACACAACTCGACCAACTCTTCTGACCACTCTCGCTTCTGCCCAAGGATCATGGTTCGTTGTTTAGTCACGGGCAAACACAGGGCATCCCACTTCGTAGGCGATTTTGTCTTTGCAGCCTTGTCTCTACTGATGTGGGTGCATCAGTCGCATGCATCAGGCTGTGGATCGTTTTCAATCTTCTTCCCATCAGGATTTCTGCTGGGGACTTTTGCTCAGGTAACAACTCATTTAGTGTTGTCTGATAGACGTACAAAAAATTTTGTAACGCGTTTGCTGGTGTTTTGGGGATCGAACATCCCCAACACTATGACATACGTAGAGCATATTTTGATGTGTGTATACTGTATACAAACAGGACCACTTGATGTATTCAATGCAGAATTTACTTGCGCTGATCCGATCAGCGGTTACTTCTGTGGTTGTATAATCAATATTTATAGATGAATTATTAAAATTAAACGAGCTGCACTTTATAGAATATCAGCGCTACGCACGGATTTTCATGGATTATTTACTCATAAACGACGAACATCACGATGAGTGAAACTGCACCTGGAGCCCTTCTGAGGTTATACTGCCGGTCCCAAGTCCGAGTAGAGGAGGCGTACTGGGCATCAGGGTTAACGACCTCATCTCACAGAAATCCAACTCGTTTGCTGGTCGGCGACCTATGCTCTATTAGGAGTAATAGGTGTAAGTGAATTATGTAAGTAAGTAAGTAAGTAAATAACGATGAACAAAACATGTAAAAAGGTCGATTTGACGATTGATTGTAAAGAATATAAAATTCTAAACGAATATGTCCAAAATAAAATCAGTAAAAAAACAGCGATGTGATCGATAACTCTCTACATCAAAAGTACTTATGTATAGAAAGCAGAAAAAAAGAAAAAAAAATATATGAATGTATGTTAGGGCCATTGGTAGACCAAGGAGAATTGGACAAGCTGTTTTTTATTACAGAAATCAGGTATGATGTATTGAATCACCGAAGCGTTTATAATGCACACGTTTTGTATCAAACTTCACTCTCAGTTTGTTTTAATTTTTTGATTAAGGTTTTTGATAGAGTTTAGTGACTAGTCTAGTGATTAAATGTTCAACAATTGAGCTATTGGCTCATATATAGTCAGTCAATTGCAACGTAGAACTTCGTACGTATGTACATAAGTTCATGTTGCCATACCACGTTAGCACACAGACGCAAATGTCAAATCAAATCCCATAGTGAAGAAGATAGTAGAGGTATTAATGTTAATAAAGAAGACAAGGGTTTGAAGATATTATTCAAGAAGTATAATTCAGTGAGATAAGGTAAGAAAACACAAAGGCAGAGGTGTTGACAAATCCAGAAGATTAGGATTTGAGAGAACACAACGAATGGATGCACTTGCGCTATTGCAAACGATTTTGAACCATGCCGTTCAAGGTCTCTAACCATTGGTGACTTTCGTCTCACGGACCCCAACCAGGTAGTCTACATCTACCAACATGACTCAGTCCACTTGTCAGTGACTTCATGGATTTCTACCATGTTTTGGTCTGGCCACCCCAAACTTTCTTCCAACCTACTCCTACACCCCAAAACATAGCTCGTCGAGGCAGTCGGTGGTTAGCCACACGTAACACATGTTCCAACCACCTCAGCTGATGAAATTTCAATACTTCATCTATTGATCTGCCATCCTTACCTCATATATACCTCACTTTCCAATAACTTTACTAAATAATACTCAAATAGACCTTTAGAAAGAGCATGTATTGTGTATCCAGTACGTATATCAAGCTCTCTCGACAAGAGCAGATTTTCTTCGCTAGAATTCTTCTCATTTTTTATACAATGATTCAATGAGTTTCTTCCCTGGTTTTTAATATCATCCGATTTGATAGGTCATTAAACAGTCAATACTAATGAAATCTTATATTATCAGAATCACTTATTTATTGCTTGTCATATTAATTTTGAAAAGACCTCTTTTATTTTTTTTTGCTCTAGAAATTTATAATTTATTATACAAATCTAAAATGTGTAATTATCAAAAATGCGGAAAGTCACTAGCTCCAAGCACTTCACAACAAGCACTACAACATTATCTTAACAAAGGTAAGTAAATAATTACAATATAAAGCGTGTAAGATTTTAAAGTTCTTTTTCGTTATTCATACAACACAAAAAATATCGATTTCAGTAAATATATATATGACATATTATTTGTTTTAATTCACTGAAACAATATAGGTCAAGGTCAAGATACAGTTTCAAATCAATGAAACTGGTTGTAAATTACATCGGCAATTTCTTTCAATGATTTGTCATGAATAAAAATCATGACTTGAGTAAATTATAGGTTTCTGCTGGTGGAGTTGTGCATGAGCGCATTGTTGATGAGTTCCATGCTAGAATGAAATGACTGTCCAATACTTCTGTAAGATCCATTTTTTGAAGACTTTGTTTGTGAAAATCCCTCCATGTAGACATTTATAATATGTGGCTTATTGATTCCTTGAGTTGTACATTTTGTTAATCTGTTCAATTCCATTTTTGAGATGATAATATTTGTAGTTGATTATAGTTTCTATTTCTTCTGCCTTTACTGAGTTTCTATGTTTCATTCTGAACTGCAATTATGTTGTTTAAGCTGATACTTAGTTATGGCGACAGCCATATTGGTTTGTTCCTCGGTTGGTTGAACCGGTAGTACTGATTGGAAGTGTGCATTTTGATTGATTGTGAATTGGAGCACTCTTTCAGAGTTGGAAACACTTTGTGTTATAAGAGGGATAGAATATCATTTATTTGAATAATTGGAGGAATAACTGAGCGGTAATATCGTTTCCGTAACGATGTATATTTATATTTATGATTAATAATAGAAACGTTATTTACCCAAATCACTTGTTTTGGATTTCAACTGGGTAAGACGCGTGTCTAACCTTTCTTGAGAGTTATTCCTCAGTCCAAACTTCAGTTTCGGTCCTACAACTTCCAAGTTTCCAATGCTGGTTATTCACATACATAAGTGCAAAATTTTTAACGACAATCATGGAATTCTACAACTCTGTACTGATAATAAAGATATGAATTTGTTTTAATTTGTTTGACATTCATTAACTCTGTACTTATTCAGTGATATTGAAAATTGAAAATTATGCAGTTAGAAATGTTCACTTAAATAAATTTATTTGAAAGTTAATTTAAACAAACATTATCATAGTGTCATAAAGTTCTAAATAAATTCTACTGACTACAGAAAAATATCCTGAGAAAGTAATAATATTATAAAGTCAACCAAATAGTCAGAAATAAAGATAAGTATATTATCAACTAACACCAAAATGTCATAATCTTCAATATGAATGTCAAGACAGTGCTACTGTATGGCGCGGAAACTCAAAGAACTACGAAAACCATCACCTAGAAGATGCAGATATTCCTTTGACAGTTGTCTACGCAAAATACTTCAAATCCGTTGGCGAGACAGCATCGTCAACAACCTACTGTGGAAGAGAACAAACCAGATTTCAGCGGAGGAAGAAATCAGGAAGAAGCACTGGAGGTGGATAGTTCATATATTGAGGAAAGCACACAACTGCGTCACAAGACAAGCGCTCATCTGGAGTCCTCATGACCAAAGGAAAAAAAGGGGAAAGCCAAGGAACCCATTACGTTGTTGTTGATGGTGTACGTACAACGAATCCAAAGTATTGTAGCGTAGACAATTGTTCATAAGTACTTGTATCTTCTGGATGATAGCATTCATAGTTCTCCGAGTTTTCGTTCCATACAATAGACCTGTCTTGAAATTTGTATTGAAAATTCTGACATTTTGGTGTTTGTTGGCAGTTATTATGAGTTCTAGATGTTGTTCAATTGTAAAAATACTGTCTTTGCTTTGTCGATCCTTGCCTTCACATCTGCATCATATCTACCTTGCTCTTCATCAATACTATTGTCAACATATCCATTTAATAATAAAAACAGTTTAATTGTTCACTCATAATTAACTAAACTATCAATCGGTATGGTTATAGTTTTCCAATGCGTAAAAATTAACAAATAATTGAAAAACAAAAACTTGTAATTTTTTTCTCGTCAGTAATAAGTTCTGTGAGAATTACCGTGTTATTGATGACAAGAAAAACACCACCTTTAAATTGTTACGCCTGCATGTAAACACGTCAATTTGATATACTTGAACTATTATGGTTATACCTAGTCGGAAAACGAGAGCGAGGATCGAGGATCCGGCGAAACAACATGATACTCAAATCCGATTATCTCAACCCCCATATTTAGTAAAAATAAGAAGACATGATATGAAGTAGAACCTGTATTCTACAAACATCCAAAAAGTACGAGGTACGAATCCAGAAGAGGATCAGGATCTCGGACTAGGGATCCGGGATCGAGCCCTGGTCGTGGTCATAAAACGTTACAGATAATGCGTATTTATACATTTAGGTTGAATAGGAAACAGCATCGAAGTCTGTGTTATTGACAGTTAAGACAACCAATAAGCAGTAACATTGGAGCACGTGACATTGATATCTAGGACGACCATAAAATTGACCAGTAGGAATTAACCAATAGGAATTGACGAGTAATTCTCTTAGGATATTTGATGAATATCCTAACATAAATACAAGCTGTTTGTTTACAAATTAGATTGTAGTGCGTGTACTTTTATGTCGAGCAGATAAGGCTTGTCATAAGCCATCGGGCAAATTAACTGATCTATTCATAGCCGGAGTTACTATTCACTCGCTTTTTACTTTGTCAACTCTTCACTTTTATTCTGGTTATTTCTGTTCTAGTATGTGTGTGTGTACCGATTATTTCGTTCATTATGCCTCTAGCTTATTTTTTCCAACTATAAAATACTGAGTCATGCTTTATTTCATGACGAAAGATAAAGATCATAATGAGTTCAGAAGATTAGAATTTGGGAGAACATGTAGTGCCTCCACATACATTCCAGTTCGCTTACATTTCATTTGGTTAAGCCATTTTCTATTAAAATTAATTTAACCAAGCCATTTGTATTGCAACAATTTATATGTACCATTGGTTCTTATTATTGTCTGGTTTGAATGAGCTCATATGACGTGTTCCACTTGTCATTTGACCTTGTCAACTATTCGTCGCTTTTATTTATGTTTGCCTATTCCGCTTGTCGCATGTCTGTCTTATATTTGTCTGACTATATATTCTTGAAGTTGGCTTATTAGCCTTCTCCAACTCGCTTCGCCTGTTCATTCGCTTTCTCCGTCCATTCGTTCCTATTGTAATCCTAGGAATTGGCTCATTAGCCTTCTCCAATTCACGTCGTTTCGTTCACTTTATTCGCTGCTTTTCAACTTCGCTTTGTGGTGTGTCCAAAAATAAACGTATTCAACACAGCACGAGTTTACCTTCTTTCTGATTTATAAATCGTCAGACGCTATTTAGTAACGATTGTTTGGACGAGCTAATTACCGAGAGCTTAAGAGCACACAGTAAATATCGACACAAACACAAAAAAATAAGGATGGTTTCATCGTTAGTATCCTAATCATTTCTCTAAATGTTTTTTGTTCATCATTGTCCTATTATTGTCTTGTATACTTAATTTTCTCAAAAAATTTGATTTATTTTTTGTATTTATTTGATTTTGAGGTGTTGAAACTGGACATATTTTTGTTTACTTCTAATAAATTTATTATCTGTTATAATTAGAGTTTTGGACATTGAAATGCACATTTTGAATCATCAGTCAATCATTGTTAGACCATCATTAGAAACCTGGAATCACTGGATGACTGTTTTGTGCTGGTATTGGACGTATCAGCAGCGCGCATCCACGACTCCTATACCTCGCAGGATTCCAACCCGGGACCTTCAGAATGGTGCGCGAACGCCTAACCGTCGGACCACTGGGCCGGCATCCAACGGTGTTAATGTCTAACTCTGATTAATCTAGGGATTTTGCGCGACCTCACTCATTTGTCTTTGGTACTTACTGCCTACACCCGTAGGGTTGAACTCCACTGGTCACGTCTTCTCACCACTGCTGATGAGTCCCATACCAGGACGAAACGGGCTTCTTTCAGTGCTTCTAGGTTTCTAATGGTACTCTACTAATGAATGATTCATTCATGATTTGAATGTACCGAAAATGTATTATCATCATTAAGAGTTCGATAAACGAAAGCAAAATAATATGTCGGCTGTTTTTTTTTATTCTATTCTTATTAGCTCTTCTCAAAGCATCCTATAATGGTGTCATTGATCATGTGGAATCGCTGTTAAATGCTGGAGCAAGTATACATACATTGGATGCATATGGTAGATCATGTTTACATTTAGCAGCAAAATTTGGACATGTGAAAGTTGCTGAATATCTTTTAAATTACAGTAAGTATTATATATACGTAATAAATCTGTTTCTTTTTGTTTGTAAATCGCGCTAAATACCCAGATAACGGTATCAGTATTGATAAGAACCACTAATACTTCTACTAGTCCTACCATTATGGGATTTGAACTGATAATTGCATCGCCGTGGTATTTCTAATATTGAAACTTTTTAGCACTGAGTTCTTTCAATATCACACAAACGGTTGGGTTTCTGTTAGGATATTCATCCAACATCCTACGAGGATCATTGGTCAATTCCTATTGGTTAATTCCTACTGGTCAATTTTATGGTTGTCCTAGATATCAATGTCACCTGTTTCAATATTGTTTCTTATTGGTTGTCCTGACTATCAATGTCACTTCAAATGTTGCTTCCTATTGGTCATCTTAACTGTCAATATCACAGACTTCAATGCTGTTTCCTATTCGACCTAAATGTATAAATACGCATTACCTGTAACGTTTTATGACCACGACCAGGGCTCGGTCCCGGATCTTTAGTCCGGGATCCCGATTCTCTTCTGGATTCGGACCTCGTACTTTTTGGACGTTTGTAGGATACAGGCTCTACTTCATATCAAGTCTTCTTATTTTTACTAAATATGGGGGTTGAGATAATCGGATTTGAGTAGCATGTCGTGTCGCCGGATCCTCGATCCTCGCTGTCGTTTCCGACTAGGTAAACTCGTAATAGTTCAAGCACATCAAAATGACGTGTTTACGTGCAGGCGTACCAGTTTCAGCTAATAATTTTGAATTTTTTTCCTACGAACACATTAATTTTGCGATACCCTAATCAGAGACCTTGAATGACACGGTTCAAAACCGTTTGCAAATAGGCACAGGTGCATCCACTCTTTGTGTCCTATCAAATTGTAATCTTTTGAATTCCTCGTCACCTCTTTCTTTCTCTTTTTAAATTTATCTCAATAAATTACACTTCTTGAATACAACCAGAATGAATTCAATTCGAAGTGGCTTGGATTATCGCGTTGTTGATATTCTGACGAAACGCGTATCTTGCATTCCATTGCCAGCCACATTCTATCTATTCTACACAAACTTGTGTCATAATGACTATATCGAGGCAATCTTCATAGGATGCTCACATGCCGACCAGAATTGATCAAATATCAATCAACATGTGAAAATAATAAAAGAGAGGGAGAGAGAGCTCATCTGTTAGTATCAACTTTATTCTTTGAATGTGATCATAATCCTAGAGGAATAGTACTATACAATTACTTAATATCCTTGAAATCTCTATTTGGGGAAGTTTAGCTCCTGTCAGTCAGTCAGCGACACCGTAGAACTTCGTACGTACATACGCACATCCGTTCATGTTGTCATACCACATTAGCGGTGCGGGTTGATAAAGAAAGGTGAGAAGGTTTAGTCAGGGAGGTAAGAGAGATATTATGGGGTTTACGAAGGATTTGATTGTGAGCAAGTTGACCTCGCGTGCCGTTATGGACACAGGTTGGACATCACTTCCCAGGTGTTCACTCCCTGGAAGGGTATCTCTCGAGAAACCTGAAGAAATTGGTCTAGCGTTGGTCTTGGAGACCTATGGAAGTGACCACAGAGCCCAAGGGACAACTGCTGGAGACCAGTCATACACAGATATTTTATGAGACGTTTTAAAGGAATTAGCTCCGCTCTTCAAGTGGCCTTACGGCCGGAGACGGAAATCAGTGGGGTAAGGTGACGTGTGAAATCTTTAGGTTTGACCTTTGCTACTCACTTCCTTGTGAGAATCCAGCATCGTTGCAGATGTTGTTTGTCCGAAGGAAACACCCTAATACATTCAGCAGAACGACTTCACCCCCTCGGACCTTAAGTTGCTACTTCTAGTCTTACCGTTCTCCAATCGACTTGCCTCGGGAGGTAGAACCTACAGGAACACATATCCCAGCCAATATAGCTCGATTCCCGACCGGAGCTGCTACCTTGTCGTGGTGGTCGGGCTTGCCTATCGTCATGACCCAATTGAGCTATATTGGCTGGAACTCATGTTCCTGAAGGTTCTACCATGCCAGGCAGGTCGACTGGAGAACGATGAGACTAAAAGCAGCTATCCAAGGTCTCGATTGGGTCGTAATAATAGGCAACCCCAACTACCACATCTACGGTCGAGTGTTCAGCTGCATATCAAAGTAGAACAGTTCAATCTGAAATGATGAGAAACAAACCTATCAGTGAGCATTATTGGAATTCATAAGTTCAAACAATGTCCTTCGTTGTTATCTTAAATTCTATTAAATCCTAGTCGATAAAATAAGAATGTTGCTTCTGCCAGCGAACGCCTGATTCATCCCCAATAAGCGCTAATTTCTAGTGAGTTTTGCTATCTGAGCTGAATGATTTACTTGTGAATCTCGAAGAATGAAACTGTACCGAAAAAATAGCCCCAATCTATGAATAAATGTCTATTTGCATTGCCCTCACTCGAGTAATAAATATTTCATTTGAACGTTTGCAATTCACTATCGCAGATTTACTCTTGTCGATGTGATTGACTGTATACTAACGAATTAATTATGAATTTCATTTCAGTTCCAGCAAAACTAATTGATTTACAAGAATATAAAAAGTAAGTGTCAGCTTTCTTTATCGTTTAAAATATATATATTTATATATCGCCTGTAGTTTATTATGACTCTACGATGAACCGACATTTTTTATTAGTCTATCAAGAATCTAAAGCGTGACATAATGCAAATTACAAGTGCTCACTAGTGACTAGCTCCGTGAGGAATCTTCTCCGAGTTCTAGTGAGAAGTCTTGACCAGGGGAGTTCAACCCTGTTCTGGTGTGAAGCAGTGCTCACCGAAAACAGTGTATGAGGTTGCGCAAGACCGTGAATTGATCAAAGTTAGTCATTGGTTCGAACCCTGTGAGATGCAGGAGTTGTGGATGCGAAGTGCTGGTGAGTCCCATACCAGGACGAAACGGCCATCTAGTGCTTCCACGTTTCTAATGGTGGTCTAACTATCATTGATCGATTCATGATTTCAGAAAGTAACATTCATTAAATTTCATAGTTAACAGAATACCCACCGAAAATATGATGGAACTATAAGTCTTAAAGCACTTGTAATTCACATAACACGTAACTGGATACAAGATACCAAGTAATTTTTTGTTGAGACCATATACACTAACAAAAATCTAGCAAACCTCGACACAGACGAGAGGACACATACAAACTCCTAGAATAATGTATTAACGATACACGAAGACAAGAATGTCGGGAGAAATGTTTCACCATTTACTTCTTGTTCATGAACTGTATTCTGATTGCTCAAGCTCAGTGATTTTTTGGTTTCGAAATTCATAACTAGCAAATACTCATAACGTAGCGAAAATTAGATTATACCAAAGTAAGCTTTATGTTAGTAGGGTGGTTGTGTTCCAGCTACAGGGGTTAGTAGAGCCTCATTTGGTGATGCGAAGAGCATTCCGAGTCACATAAACGCACCACATAATGTATGTGGGAAGCTATAACCTTGAAGATTTTGTCGCATGGGCGTCACACCCAGAACAAGTGTACATTATGTGCATAACAGAAACGCATGAGCGTTCCCCCTTGCCCATCCTTTGGTGTACACATAGGGTATCACCGACCCCCCCCCAGGGATAGCAGATGGTTGCCACTACCATGAACGTATTTGATTCCACAGACTGTCTCTCATGCATTGCACGCTTACTATCAGTACTCAAGAAATGAGAACACAGATAAAGAAATGCGTTACGGGGAGTGTCTCTTAAAAATATATAGCTAGTAAATAAATATCTAGCATTGATCTAAGCAGAACTAGCACTAATTGTTGACTCAGTACCTTATTGAACGTACTGCCCAGCAAATGCGTCCTTCTGACAAAGGTAAATAACTTAGGAGGACAGTTTGAAGCTGTAGTTTTATTCTAAAACTGTCAGTTACATCATACTCTGAAATAGCTTAGTATAAAAATAGGAAGTAACTATTACTTCGCAACTAATGCTAATTCTGTAAAGCAAATCCTAAATGTTCGTCTTGTCTTTTTTTTATTTCTAGGAACCAAACAGCACTACATAAAGCTGCGGCGACTCGAAGAAGGCTCATCTGTAAAATGTTGATCATGGCTGGGGCCTGTCCAACGATTATTGATATTCATGGAAAACAACCAAGTAATTTGGCACTTGAAGTAAACGACCCACAACTTGCCACTTATCTAAAAAGTAAGTCCATTACAATGTCACAATTGTCAATAGTGAAACACAAAAATCTTCTTTCAATAAACAAGATCCCTTGTTGTTGTTTCTTTTTCAGGGGAAGAAATATTGTTCATTATTAGAAATGGAATTGAAAAGGTAGATGTGTGAAAAGTGAACCAATGAACTAGTTTTGCAATACATTCCAAACAATATCAGACTTCAATATCTGGACATTTCGCGCGCTTTGTACAATTTAGGATAAATATCATTATTATTTGTTTGTCTTACAATATTTCTGTAGAATGTGTCTTAACCGATAAACCTTTGTATTGAGTCAGAATTACGAATATATATTATCAATATCAAGACTGTCGTTCTAATCTGAATCAAATTTACACAGAATATTCGTGTAAAGTTTGGCAAGGAACCAGCACATTACAATCCTGATTTTTAAAGAACACAACTTGTGAATAATAATAATGGGTAACCTGATAAACTGCTTAACATAACTGGGCTTTTACAAGAAAAAACCTTGATTAAGAGCTGTCAAGGACTGTTTAACAGTCCCGTGTCGTTTTTCATCCTCCTGTGAAATCCTAATATCAACCAAACTAATTCTTGGTCCTAATCAATAAATTATCTGTTTCATGATTGTTGCATCAGTCGCGAAATGCGTTTCGTAATAGTAGGCAAACTTAAAAGTAGAAAAACTAGCCCATAGCAGAGGATTTCAGAAGAAATGTAGTCGCCAAAATGTTTAGAAAAGTATATTAAAACAAGTAAATGCTTTTACAAAACTTCTCAACGATAATGACTTAGTTATTATCTTGAATAGATGCCATGATGAATCAGATTGCGTCTCACCGGTATCCAGGAGGTGGTGGAGGTGGAGGAGGGGGATATCCTCGTACAGCGGTAACAGGTGGCATTCCACGACCAAATGCCGCTGTCGGTGCACCTGCCGGGGGAGGAGGTGGAGGCGGCATACCTGGGAGCGCACGTGGCTGCATTAAGCCTGGCGCTGGTGCTCCGACTCCCCAAACTGGTCCACCTAAACCAGCAGGTGGAGCTGGGGCAATAGCTGCTGCTGGAGTTGCAAGGGGCATACCACGGCCAACGGCAACGCCACCTAATTGTTTAACTCCAGTTGACCAAGAGCCTGCTGTAGGAATGGGGACACGGGCAGCATCTTCTGGAGGTGGAGGACCATCTACATTCATAGTGACCTGTGAAAATGATTGAATGTAAAGATAACTTTAGAAGAGCACAAAAAGTACACGAACATTTTATACAATATAAGAAAAATCAGTTTTGGTAGATGATATGATTTTTGTATCGTTTCGAAAGACTATATACGAACGGTTGAGTAGTAGCGATAAGGAAGATTAATAATGGACAAATAATACCCAGTGCTAGACAGCAATACATGAGATAAAGTATTAGATACTTATAGGAAAAGTATTGCAAAAGACAGTTATTTGACAAATATAGATATTTATGAACGGAGACCACGATAATTGGGAAGTAGCCAGAAGACCAAACTATGTAGTGTGGCGATTTATGACGCTAATAGACTAAGATTAGAATGAACTGTGAAGACATCGATTGTTTTTCTTCAACTTGGATCAAAAAATAGTCAGGAGAATTTCGCAAACGTGATTACAAACATCAAACAATAAGCTTTTTGGGTGGTATTTGTAGGGTGAATTTCCCGAATGAACTAAATTATGTGCTACTAATTTGACAGAACACAAATACGTTACGAATACTTATTACTGAGGCGTAGACTCATTAGTTCATGCACTAAAGATTATTAAATCCAATGACTGGAGATGGCGTGCGACATGGCTAAGAATCGAGTAAATGCAGTCAGTCTTTGTTTCACCTTAGATTTCAAGTTTTAAAATTATTCCATACTTATTATGACACAAATTCATTGTCTGCCACTATTCTTGAATTTGGCTTGATTGTATGTGTTAGAGTGATATGGTGACTTGAACCGATTCAGGTTCTGGATTGCCTACGATTGACTGACTGTCACACTTTGTCAACACAGCGATAAGACAAACACTAGGATCGCAGAGCTATGAACAATATGAGTGGTTAACATAACATCGTACGCTCAAAGATAGTTGTACAGGGACAGTTACAGCGCAGTTGCATTTATCTGTTCTATGAGATGAGAAATCGAAAAACGCACCTAGATATCTTTCACAGCCATGTCTGGGCACCAAAATTACTTGCTACAACCGATACGTCTAGCTTGTCGAAGCACGGCAGAAGGTCTCACTTATTAATAACGTAGGATCCTGAACTAGGGGTGTATTTTGAAGCCCTGGATAGAAATTAAACGCGATTACTTCTTCACTTTCTTAATATAGTAAAACGGACAAAACACCGAAAACAGATTATAGTCGAATTTGATGTCAGCCTCTCTACAGATACTGCATAAACCAAGTAGGACTTGGTATATCGATTCAACTTAGGTTTTCTCGACCTCTGAGATTTACCTAGTCATCATAGAGGGTAAAATACCCAAAGCAACCAGCAGACATGAGTAACCATTAAAGAATTTGAAACTCGACAGTAGCAGCTACCTTGATATGATGGTCAGACTTGCCTATCAATATAACTCAACCGAGGCGTATTGGCTGGAACATACGTTTCTTTAGGTTTTACTATGCCAGGCAGGTCGGTTAGAGAAAGATAAGACTACGCTGCCAGTTCCCGCGGTTTCTGCTGTAGGGGCAGTATTGAGTTCTGAAGCGGACTAGTTCTATCAAACTGGATACTATGTAGTTATTGATGTACTGTCCAACTGAGACAGTGAGAACTCGGAAAGACAGGGACACTCACTGTTGTCTATTTGTTGTCTCTGCCTACGCTCTCACTGACTGCAGCTCGGATGTGGTAAAAGATGAATTTTACATAACGTTTTCCGACCTTCTTCAAAAAGCTAAGCGCTGTGATGTAGTAATAGTGGCTAATGATTTTTATGCTCAAGTAGGAAGATTGAACGAAACCGTAAGACACCTGGATTGATCTTATAGTGTCGCGGCTCATCGAAGAGATGACGACAACTGTCTGCAGTAACTACGCTTAGGTAAGCACTTATTTTGGGCAAACATCGACTTTAGGCGTAAAGACAAACATCTGACGTGGTGACCTCAAAAATCGACTCAACGCTGGACCCAAGTAGACCACATTGCTATCAGCCAACGACGGAAAGGCTTGATAGAAGTCTGCAGCTCATTTTGCAGCGTATGTTTAAAATCAGGTCATGCTCCAGTACGAGCGCGCATTCACCTGCATCTTACTGGACGTAAGAGAGACAACGCAAGGAAACCCCTTAGAATTCTACTTAACAATATCAAGGTTTAGAATATATTTCAAGCGTAACTAGAAACACAATTACGCAAACATGTAAGTAATGCCCACCCCGAGGTAGATCGGAATGATATTCAAAAGACAGTGATATATGTTAATGCGCTAACCAATAAGGTTAGGGAGAAACAGTGGATTTTAGTCGCATCTACCGAACTAATAGATGCTCAGAAACCCATCTCCTTTGGCTCTAAACGAGCTCGTGAAGAGCAGAGTCAAAAAAACTTAGTTGGATTCAGACCTGGACGAGGATGCATACATAGATCAGATATTCATAGTTGGAAGGACAAAAGACCCCATCTTTATTGAGGTACATTCTCTTCATACTTTGTATGCAAACACCAGTTATATGAGGTGCAAGGCTGCGAACTGTATTTTCGTTACGCTAAGAAGGTGATGCGAATTTAGTCGAGTCAAGACAGTTTTTTAATAGGAAATTTTCCAATGTAACTGCTAAACTGCTCGAACTAGAGTAGAGTAGCACACACAGCTACAAATTTTAGAAGTTGAGTATTTAGACCGTGAACATCCACAAACACAACGCGAAATTTCAATTTTATCGCATTTTAAAAAGCTTAGCTGGATATCCACAGTAAAAATGAAGGGGATCAGGTTGTCGCGATAAACAGATTGGAATATGGAGAAAGCATTATAGAACTGAAAATTGGTGTCTTTGAGTTAAATGGGATTTCTTCAAGATACACACTATCATTATCAAATACTATCAAAACGTAGATAGATTGATTAGGAAACTCAGGCAAATTTTGGATTGACTCGATAAGTTCATGACCAAGTGGTTATCCTAGAGAGGCAATGAAACATACAACTTATGTGGTGGTTTATAGATTGATTAGAATTCCGAAGTCAGTTTTGTACGTGCTTCATCAACCAGCGACAAAAGTCGCAATTAATTTTGGTATTTAGAGATCAATCAAACGAATTGACTGCATGTATACGATTTGCGAAATGAGGTTTGGAAAGCACGTGCCCAAAGAGAATAAACTTTTCGCACAACGAAAACAACAGCAAACCAATTAATCGGTTCTTGGAATCTCATTGAACAGGTTTTTAAGTACCAAACGGATACGACGCAAGTCTGAGTCGAAAATTAGGACATATGTATGAAAAAACTAATGTATCCCGGTAGACCAAGTCATGCAAATTGACTGAAAACATTCTGACCTCGAAGAAAACATTGTTCTAACAATTTCTAATGGGCTTTAGTTTCACAAAACTATTTTGAGATCATATTGTTTTTTTAAATAACACGTGAGACAACAGAGCAGTTGCACAAAATACCAAAATTACTTACCACATGTTCACCTCTTAAAAGAACAAGTCCAAGTGCCCGTTTTTCTTGACGATCTTTCTCTTGCTTTGCTGTCTTGTTTTTAATTTGACGAAACTCGTCGCAGTCGCACAGTATTATATTCATATGACGATCGAAAGCTTTGAACGTTCCAACCAATTGCCGGCCATCTTGCATGGTACATCTAATCCTATAATTAACATGCTGGCTGATTTTCGCGTTTTTACTAACAGGCTAAAAGACAAAAATTAGGCTGGATATGAACTTACCATAGTTGAAGCCAAACTTCAAGCCGCCGACACGTTTGGACTCGACTAAACAAACGCCATACAAGGTCTTCAAACTTTAACGTAGTTAGACCAACTAAATTTACTGTCTCTTCCTGTTGGTTCGAGTTTATAGTTATAAATACAGTTGAACAGGATGAAATAAAGTGCTCGCATTGATTCTCCACTGACATGAGGTAAATAATGTGTAAAACCAAAGTTTTTGAAAACTGATGCACACGAACAAGAAAACCTAGTCGGGCTCGGATATGGTTTCTTCTACATGAATGAAAGAATCGGGTTTGATCATGATATCACTCTTTGGTGTGGTGTGGTTAAACTTTCTAGACCAAGATTGGATCCCAATCAATCGGAAACTGGCACTATCAGTTTTCAGGGACATTCGATGATAGCACTTTCCTAATATCCTACAATGCGATGAAATATTCAATCTGCGCAATTATCTTAGCGGCACAGCCATGCTCTGCATCACCGATCTACTTACTAATCTGGACATATGGACCAATATGCTTGCTGGCAAAAGGAAATTTCAGTTAAACGTCCTACACTTGATTTTGACCCAGACTGCTTATTACTCTGACTATTTTTATTTAACTACCCAGTTTGAACTGTCTCATTCATACGAACGTGACCAAATCTGTTCTACTGATTACTTTTGTTGCATCCCTATTACTGTGCATGTTTATTTCGCTTTTCTCATTCGAATGTTACTTTCTAGGTTTGCACTAATTATATTAAGTTATTATTTAGAAACAAATAATAATTTTTGGACAGATACATAGCTAACTGTTCTGACTTTGGCCCTGATAGGCTTTTGTGTACGGCAGTATAAGGAATTACCGAAGATGTTCGTCTGTTTGCAAAATAAATCCTACAACACACTCTGATACGTCCACTTTTACTGCATCACACCACATTGTCCTGGACTTCATACTGGAAACAAGGACTAGTTGCTTTAATTTCATGTCTCAAGTAAGGCCTCACAGATATTGAGCATGATAATGATGGTATAATAATAATACTTTAGAGCCCAAACATCTTTTCATTCAGATAATGAAACAGCTTAATAATAAATCATAAGTCCATGAAGAATATGATAGTGTCAGCTTTACGAATAACTCCGCCAGTAGAACCTTAGGGGCTACTGCCGGTCCCAAGCCCGGGTAAAGGAGGAGGGTTGGACATGGGGTTGGCGACCCCATTCCGTTGAAATCTCACTTGCCAAAAAAACGCTAACCAGAAAAAATAATTCAAACCATTTTAACTCTGCCCTGGGAGTTGGAAGAAGAATTATGACGTCTCGTGATGAAAGCCGAGTTCCCTCGGAAGTCACGGGGCTGATGCCTCTTCTGACAACCAGAGCAACCATTCTTTTACGTACATGGAACGTTCGTACATTGTGGGAGACTGGAAGACTATTTCAAGTTGCGGCAGAAATGAAACGATACAACCTCGAGGTGCTTGGAATCAGTGAAACACATTGGACACAAGTAGGACAACTGAGACTAGCTTCAGGGGAACTGCTGTTATACTCTGGTCATGAAGAGGAAAATGCTTCCCATACACAAGGAGTTGCACTGATGCTGTCCAAACATGCACAAAAGGATTTGACGATTCTTATGGGAGACCTGAATGCCAAAGTTGGAATAGAGAACACTGGATATGAAGACATCATGAGACGACATGGACTGGGAGAAAGAAACGAAAACGGTGAGAGATTTGCAAACCTATGTGCCTTCAACAAACTGGTCATCGGTGGCACAATATTCCCGCACAAACGCATTCACAAAGCCACATGGATTTCACCGGACCACACTACTCAAAACCAAATTGACCATATCTGTATCAACAAAACGTTCAGAAGGACTATGGAGCATGTGAGAACCAAGAGAGGAGCTGATATAGCTTCAGATCACCATTTGCTGATCTCCAAAATGAAACTGAAGCTAAAGAAGCACTGCACAACGGGACAGACAACATCACAGAAGTTTAATACGGCCTTACTTCGGGATACTGTAAAGCTCAACGAATTCAGGATAGCCCTCAGCAATAGGTTCCAGGCCTTTCAGGATCTACCCAATGGAGAGGACGCAACATTGGAGAACAATTGGAAAGGGATTAAGGAGGCAATCACTTCAACATGTCACGAAGTTCTGGGTCACAAGAAGTACCACCACAAGGAATGGATCTCTGTTGATACTCTTGCGAAAAATGAAGAAAGGAGGAACAAGAAGGCAGAAATCAATGTCAGCCGAACAAGAGCGGAGAAAGTTACCACACGAGCTGCATACACAGAAGCAAACAGGGAAGTGAAGAAGAGCATCAGAGCTGACAAACGAAAATATGTGGAAGATCTAGCAATGACGGCGGAAAAGGCTGCAAGAGAAGGAAACATGAGACAATTGTACGAAACAACAAAGAAGCTCGCCGGAAACTATCGTCAACCAGAACGACCAGTGAAAAGCAGGGGAAGCTAATTAATCAGCAACACTGAATTACAGCGAAGTAGGTGGGTAGAGCACTTTAAGGAACTCTTGAATCGACCAGCTCCACTGAACACACCCAACATCGACGCAGAATCCACGGACCTCCCAATTAATATTGACGCACCTACAATTGAGGAGATCAGTATGGCCGTCAGACAAATCAAGAACGGTAAAGCAGCAGGACCAGACAACATTCAAGCAGAGGCAATGAAAGCAGATGTAGAAGCAACTGCGAAAACACTTCACATCCTCTTCAAGAAGATTTGGGATGAGGAACAAGTACCATCAGATTGGAAAGAAGGATACCTCATCAAAATACCAAAGAAAGGCGATCTCAGCAAGTGTGAGAACTACAGAGGCATCACTCTTCTTTCAATACCAGGCAAAGTCTTCAACAGGGTATTGTTAAACAGAATGAAGGACTTCGTAGACGCTCAACTTCGAGACCAACAGGCTGGATTTCGTAAGGATCGATCGTGTACTGACCAAATCGCTACATTACGGATCATTGTGGAACAATCAATTGAATGGAACTCACCACTCTACATCAACTTCATCGACTACGAGAAAGCATTCGATAGCGTGGATAGGAAAACACTGTGGAGGCTTCTTCGACACTACGGTGTGCCTGAGAAAATAGTCAACATCATACGGAACTCTTATGATGGATTCAACTGCAAAATCGTGCACGGGGGACAGCTAACCGACGCTTTCGAGGTGAAGACCGGTGTCAGGCAAGGTTGCTTACTCTCACCCTTTCTCTTTCTCCTGGTCATCGACTGGATTATGAAAACGTCAACATCTGGAGGGAAGCATGGTATCAAGTGGACAGTTAGGACGCAGCTGGACGATCTGGACTTCGCAGATGACTTGGCTCTTCTATCGCACACTCAACAACAAATGCAAGAGAAGACGACCAGTGTAGCAGCAGCCTCTGCAGCAGTAGGTCTCAACATACATAAAGGAAAAAGCAAAATTCTCCGATGCAACACAACATGCACCAACCGAATCACGCTTGATGGAGATGCCTTGGAGGACGTTAACACCTTCACATATCTTGGCAGCATCATCGACGAGAAAGGTGGATCGGACGCAGATGTGAGGGCGCCGATTGGCAAAGCAAGGGCTGCATTTCTACAGTTGAAAAATATCTGGAACTCCAAACAACTTTCAAACAAAACCAAAATCAGGATTTTCAATACAAATGTCAAGACAGTTCTACTGTATGGAGCGGAAACATGAAGAATTACCAAAGCCATCATCCAGAGGATACAAGTGTTTATTAACAGTTGTCTACGCAAAATACTTCGTATTCGTTGGCCAGACACCATCAGCAACAACGAACTGTGGGAGAGAACAAGTCAGATTCCAGTGGAGGAGGAAATCAGGAAGAAGCGGTGGAAGTGGATAGGACACACACTACGAAAAGCACCCAACTGCGTCACGAGACAAGCCCTCACATGGAACCCTCAAGGCAAAAGGAAAAGAGGAAGGCCAAGGAACACACTACGCCGAGAAATAGAGAAAGATATGAGAGGAATGAACAAACATTGGACAGAAGTGGAGAGGGAAGCCCAGGACAGAGTTGGTTGGAGGAAACTGGTGAGCGGCCTATGCTCCATTGGGGGTAACAGGCGTAAGTAAGTAAGTAAGTAAGTAAGTAAGTAATTCTCTAAAGTTCATCAATAGGTGTAGAAATCAGTTAGGACAAAAGCCAGTTTTTCATTCTGATGAGATGAAAAAGGTTTATATCACTTTATCATTTAGAGGTGAATCAGATGGTCTAATCTTAAGAGAGCGACTAAAAGCAGCCATAGAGAAAACATACTATGCTGCTAAACTGAGTATAATTGAGAAGACTAAGCCCATGATTCCATATAGACCTAAACGTTGCTCGAATGATCACATCCCACTGCTTTTATCGAATTACATGTTTTTGTGGACACACATACATAAGGAGGAGTTATCGGACTTTGCAATAAAGGGTTATGAAACATGTTCCTATATGGCTTCGAAATCGGTTAACGTCAGATGAACCGATAAACGTGGGAAACAGAAAATCTTGTTCATCGATCTCAAAACACATGATTGAGACAGAGCATAAGATTGACATCAAGACAGTCTTCAAAACAGTGTATGGAAATGCTGAAAGATGAGTTTTGAGGTTCATAGAAGCCTTGGCTATTGGTAAATTAAAAAGCCCCTGGTGCGTCCAAAAACTATTTGTTATAACCTTGAATTTACCTTGGCAAGCCTGCGTGTGGTGTTTGAATTAACTAGTGACTTCTTGGTGGTTGTTGAATGCCTTATTTCGAATTCTAAATACAGTACATTCTTTCGTGCTTATCTAGTAGTTCTTGATTCACATACTTCTAATTATCATATTGGCGTCACGATGGATCTGGTGATGGAACTGTTTGATATTCATTCAACTTCTGAAGCTTTTGAAGATTATTTGGAAAGGCTTGAAATCTGGAGTATGACCAGGAAAGATGTCGA